GGAGTAGGAATTATTAGCGGTTTTTCTTCTTTAGTAACAGGAACTCTTTCTTCCAGTTTTTCTTCTTTAGGGACGGGTGTTATTTCTGGTTTTTTTTCTGCAAGAACAGGAACTGCTTCTTTAGGTTTTTCCTCTTTGAGGACAGGTGTTATTTCTGGTTTTTCCTTCTGTATTGGAGTAGGAATTATTAGCGGTTTTTCTTCTTTAGTATCAGGAACTCTTTCTTCAAGTTTTTCTTCTTTAGATACAGGTGTTATTTCTGGTTTTTCTTCTATAAGAACAGGAACTGCTTCTTTAGGTTTTTCCTCTTTGAGGACAGGTGTTATTTCTGGTTTTTCTACTTGAGGAACAGGAACTCTTTCCTCAAGTTCTTTCTCTTTGAGGACAGGTGTTATTTCTGGTTTTTCTACTTCAGGAACAGGAACTCTTTCCTCAAGTTCTTCCTCTTTAGGAACAGGTGTTATTTCTTGTTTTTCTATTTCAGTAACAGGAACTCTCTCCTCAGGTTTTTCCTCTTTAGATACAGATGTTATTTCTGGTTTTTCTACTTCAGGAACAGGAACTCTTTCTTCGAGTTCTTCCTCTTTAGGAACAGGTGTTATTTCTTGTTTTTCTATTTCAGTAACAGGAACTCTTGCCTCAGGTTTTTCTTCTTTAGATACAGGTGTTATTTCTGGTTTTTCTTCTACAAGAACAGGAACTGCTTCTATAGGTTTTTCCTCTTTGAGGACAGGTGTTATTTCTGGTTTTTCTACTTGAGGAACAGGAACTCTTTCCTCAAGTTCTTTCTCTTTGAGGACAGGTGTTATTTCTGGTTTTTCTACTTCAGGAACAGGAACTGTTTCCTCGAGTTCTTCCTCTTTAGGAACAAAAAAACCAGAAATAACACCTATCCCCAAAGAGGAAAAACCTATAGAAGCAGTTCCTGTTCTTGCAGAAGAAAAACCAGAAATAACACCTGTATCTAAAGAGGAAAAACCAGAAGCAAGAGTTCCTGTTACTGAAATAGAAAAACCAGAAATAACACCTATTCCTAAAGAGGAAGAACTTGAAGAAAGAGTTCCTGTTCCTCAAGTAGAAAAACCAGAAATAACACCCGTCCCTAAAGAAGAAAAGCTTGAAGAAAGAGTTACTATTACTAAAGAAGAAAAACCAGAAATAACACCTGTCCTGAAAGAGGAAAAACCTAAAGAAGCAGTTCCTGTTCTTGTAGAAGAAAAACCAGAAATAACACCTGTATCTAAAGAAGAAAAACCTGAGGCAAGAGTTCCTGTTACTGAAATAGAAAAACAAGAAATAACACCCCTTCTCTTTAGGAGTAGGAATTATTAGCGGTTTTTCTTCTCTAGTAACAGGTTTTATTTCAGGTATTTCTATTTCAGGAACAGGAACTCTTTCCTCAAGTTTTTCCTCTTTGGGGACAGGTGTTATTTCTGGTTTTTCTACTTCAGGAACAGGAACTCTTTCTTCAAGTTTTTCCTCTTTAGGAACAGGTGTTATTTCTAGTTTTTCTACTTCAGTAACAGGAACTCTTTCTTCAAGTTCTTCCTCTTTAGCAATAGGTGTTATTTCTGGTTTTTCCTTCTTTTTAAGAGTAGTGATTATTTCTGGTTTTTCTTCTTTTTTTATTGGAACTACCTTTTCAAGTTTTTTAAATTCTTTAGAAATGGATATTAGTTTTGGAACTTCTTCCTCTTTAGCAATAGAAATTATTTCTTCAGGTTCTTCCTTTTCTTTTGGAGAGGGAATTAATTCTTGTTTTTCTTCTTGTTGTTCTTGAGGTACCTCAATTTCTTTTGGAGTAGGAATTATTGGTGGCTTTTCTTTTTCTTTCGTTATGGGAATTATTTCTTCAAGTTCTTTAAATTCTTTAGAAATGTGTACTAATTTTACAACTTTTTCCACTTCCTTAATCTGAATTATTCCTTCAGCTTCTTCCTTTTCTTTAGGAGTGGAAATAATTTCTGGTTCTTCTTCTTCCTTAGTTATGGCAACAATTTCTTCAAGTTCCTTATATTCTTTGGAAATTGATACTAATTTTGCAACTTCTTCCTCTTTAGTAATATGAACTATTTTTTTAGGTTTTTCCTTTATCATAGGAGAGGGAATTATTTCAAGTTTTTCTTCTTTAACTAGAGACGCTATTTCTCCTGGCTTTTCTTCGGGTTCTTCTTTCTTCATAATAAGTTCCTCTTCTTCAGCAAGGGTTTTAATTTTATCTTTTCCTGCTATGTCTTCTTTAGCAAGAGGTTTAATTTCTTCTTTTTCTTTGGTTATTGAGATTCGTTCCTTTGGTTCCACATGTTCTATAACAGTAGCTGCTGTTTCAGGTTCTTCTTTTGTTGCAAGTAGTTTTTCTTTTTCTTTAATAGTGGGAAATAAGACATGTTTTTCCTCTTTCTTCGTTATGGGAATTACTGCTTCTTGTTTTGTCTCCTTAAGATAGGGTACTTTTTCTGGTTTTTCTTTGGTTTTTTCTTCTTTGTGAATAGGTTTTATTTCTGTTTCTTCTTCTTTGGTAATAGAAACAATTTCTCTGGGTTCCTCATGTTTAGGAGAAGGTACTTTTTTTGATTCTTCTTCAGGTTTTTCTATTCCTTTAACTGTCGGTTTTATTTCTTCAGCTTCGGTTACTGGAACTGTTAATCCAAGTTCTAACTGTTCCTTAGGGATAGGTAGTTTTTTTTGTTTTTCTTCTTCCTTGGCAACGTCTATTGTTTCTGCTTTTTGTATCGTTTTTCTTATGAGTACTGGTTTTTCAGGTAAATGCTTTTCTTTAGAAATATGTACTGTTGCTTCTCTCATTTCTTCTTCTTCTTTAGGTTCCTTCTCTTCTTCAGTAGTAGATGCTTCTTGGAGTTCTAACTCTATCTCGGAAGCAGGTATTTTTTTATGTCGCCTTTCAACTTTTTTAATCCCTGTAGGTAATTGTCTAGGTGGACGTTCCTTTGGTTCTTTAGTTATTTTTGGTGTGATTTTTGGGGACGGAGGTTTAACTTTTCCATCTATTTCTACCTTTTTTGGTGCCTTTTGTACTCTTGCTTGAAAAGGTCTTGCCTTTTGTATGTGTTTTGGTGATGCAGCTGGTGACCTTTTCTTACCTTCTTTTAGAGTTATCTTTTGTATGTGTTTTGGTGATGCAGCTGGTGACCTTTTTTTACCTTCTTTTAGAGTTATTTTTTGTATGTGTTTTGGTGATGCAGTTGGTGACCTTTTTTTACCTTCTTTTATAGTTATTTTTTGTATGTGTTTTGGTGATGCAGTTGGCGATTTCTTTTTACTTTCTTTTGGAGCAGCTGTCCTTGTCGGTGTCAAGGATTGCCTGGTTCTATGATCTATGTCAACATATTTTCGGATTCTCTTTTCTACACCGTTTTCTAAAATAGCTTCTTTAGGTTTCTTCTCTGGAGACTTAGGCATGTGGGCTAATTTTTTAATTTCTAGTTCTTTCTCTGTTACTTTACTTGCCGTCGTAATGACACGCTTTTTTGACACTTCTCTTTTCTCTGGGGATTTTTCACGTTTTATTTCTGCTTTCTTAGAAGAAAATTTAGATGGTTCATAAGTTTTTTCTTCTAGTTTTTGTTGTGTTATAGATATATATTTTTTGGTAGGTGATGTTTGGTCAGGTTTTGGCACGGGTTTTTTAGTGGGTGACTCAGGTGTTGATATTGCTTGTTTAGGAAGAACTTTTGCAACTGGTTTTTCTGTTTCTTTTTCTAACTTCAGTTTTTCTGTGGTTTGTTTAAGAATAGCTTGATAACATTTTGGGTGTTTTAACATTTCTAACTGTTTTAGCTTTTGTAAGCCTTCAAATAATTTTATCTGAGGGACACTTCCTGGAAAGAGCATTCGAGTAATGTTATCATTTGGATCTGAAGGCTTCCAAATGATTAGGGCACAAATTGACGTAAAGTCGGAGAGAGGAATAGGGATTTTTTCTTGAGATTTTAAAGTCACCTTGAGGGTACTGAAGTTATCTTTTCGGGAGGACCATTGATGAAGAAATTCCTTGATCTCGCGGCTATCTTTAGGAGGATTTAACACATACATTTCGAGAGTTCCGTGGCCAACTTTTTGATATAAAATTAAAGGCTCTGTTGGACTTTCTCGAAAGCACAGATGAGGTTGCAACTCTAACATATTTAGGTTTTGTAAGAATAAATGTCCCTCTTGGATGACGTTAACAACGAGTTCATCTTTATCTTTTTCGTTTTCACCAATAGATGATTCTTTTGCACTTAATACATTTGCAAATACGTAACCGATATTAGGGCAAACTTTTCCTAAAGTTTTTCTCTTAATTAATGAAGTAATTCCACTTAAATTTGTTTCACTAAAACGGGTAACCATAACAGCATCAATCCTGTCAATATGACGGAGGAACTCCCAGAAGCAAGGTTTCCGTTCAAAACCACCATCCATTAACATGACAAAACCACTCACTCCAACCAATGAACAATCACCATCTCCTCCAGGAAATACATATACAGTTGGACGATTGAAACGAATATTTCCAACAACAGAAGTTGGTTGCATTATTCTCTCCAAAGGGCTACTTGGGATGGAATTCTTAAGAAACTGCAATAAGGCAGGTGTGCCTGGAACGGCAGCAAACATATCGGGTGGATTTATTATGATTTTGGCCAAGTTACCTATATTACTCTCTGTAACTCCCTTGTTTGTCCAGTCACCGTCGGAGGAGCAATGTAAGTGAATTGAATATCTCGGATGAATCTTTAAAACTCGCTGAACATCGGCATCGTAGAAGGCATCAACAAAGTCCTTG